ATTAATGTAGGCACGTGTGAATGACCAAGTTTTTCCAAGATGTGTTTGAATGTTTTAACCTTAAAACCTAACGCTTAAAAATGACTAAACATCTCGAAACTTCGATCGCGATGCACGCTCGAATACAGAATCAGTAAAAGTAAAAATTCAGTTTCTCACCCCCCCCCCTCCCCAGCCCCCCTGTGGAGCGTGAGTACAATTTGCTTAATGGCGTCATTTACATTCCCGATCATGTTGCGGTGTGTACCTCGTGTGAGCGGGGACACGACGCACGTTCAAAACTTCCGTGTGTTGTGTTAACCGTGGCGTGCAAATATTTGGTCGCACGGTCTTGGTCGAGGGAAGGGCGCGACGTTTTTAGTCGAAATACACACATTTTTAGTCAAAACAAACTACAATTTAGTCGAAATACACACATTTTTAGTCAAAACAAACTACAATTTAGTCGAAATACACACATTTTTGTCAAAACAAAAAATAATTTAGTCGAAATGCATATTTTAAGCGAAATACACGACACTCGATTCGAAATACATTATTTCGAGACGACCATTCAACCAGTGTGGCCGAATTAGCTCGATTGAGTGTCCAGTTTCTGCCACCAGTTGCAGCCCAAACTCCTATTGTGGACACAAGCTCTGTTGTCCAGATTTGTCCACGAATGCAGGATTCAAATATCAGACCAAAGTGGTATTTGTCTTTGGACTATCTGAGTTAATGAGACACTTGTTCATTTTTGGTTTTGTTAGTTTGATATACAATTATTATGATTGTAGAATAACGTTTTTTTTTTATATATTGTAATGTAAAACTACACCATTGTTGATCCCATGGTTTGAGCTCCTTAAGACTTTTCCGTAGGTCTTATTCCGGCACTGTGATCGTTATTGTCGTGTTATAATTCTCAGTATACTATAGTGAGACGCTTGTTCCATTGTGGGGGTTATAGTTTTTAGTATACCATAGTGAAATTCTTTGTTCCAATGTGGTGGTTATAGTTTTTAGTATACCATAGTGAGATGTTTGTTCTAATGTGGTGTTATAGTTTTTAGTATACCTTAGTGAGATACGTATTCCATTGTGGGGTTATAGTTTTTAGTATACCTTAGTGAGATACGTATTCCATTGTGGGGTTATAGTTTTTAGTATACCTTAGTGAGATACGTATTCCATTGTGAGGTTATAGTTTTTAGTATACCTTAGTGAGATACGTATTCCATTGTGAGGTTATAGTTTTTAGTGTACCTTAGTGAGATACGTATTCCATTGTGGGGTTATAGTTTTTAGTGTACCTTAGTGAGATACGTATTCCATTGTGGGGTTATAGTTTTTAGTGTACCTTAGTGAGATACGTATTCCATTGTGGGGTTATAGTTTTAGTGTACCTTAGTGAGATGATTGTTCCAATGTGTAGTTATAGTTTTTAGTATACTATAGTGAGATGCTTATTCCAATGTGCACCCAGCTTCTGTTTAAGTGCACCCATTGTTCCGATTCATTTGTATCGATTCTATAATATAATCGTATAAAATAATGCAGAAACAAATGTTTTTGATCTGTAATAATGTGTTTATGTAATGACTTTTTTTTTTCAACGCATACCTAAAAAATAGATGTATCTTTTTATCTTCGAGTGCTTTTGTGCTATTGTTTTCTAGAGTCGATACCACGGTATCGATTACTTTGATGACTATGTTTGCTTTGCTAGTAATATTTTTACGTAACTGTAGTAGGCCTGGGTAAAAATCTGAACGTTGATAGTATTGATTTTATGATTTATTCATTCCTCGGGTTTATCCGTCTATCTCTTAGACGTTAACGTGCTTAATCTTAATATGGGGTTTTCCAGAATTAAATATCATGGTAGAAAAATATTATCCTTGAATCTTTGTTTATGCTTCAGCTAAGTTTTATTTTCTAAACATTATTTTTTTTTAGGCTTATGGTATACTGTACTCTATGTCAAAGCAAATTTTTAATAATGTGTTGTAAATTTACATACTTTTATACCAAACAAAATGATATTGTGAACCTTGTTTTTTTTTTTTACTAACCCTTAAAACTTTTTACTAAGCTGCACCGCTAAAGCCCTTAAGTTATCAATTTTCACCCGTCCATTTATTATCATTTATCTTTAGTCATTGAGCGGACCACCTAGAGAACACAAATGTTGTTTCTATAAACACGAACAACTTCTATTTTCGGTTTTAAAAAAAATCCTACCCATATCTCAATAATTAGATGCCTATTCATTACTTACCGAATCCCATTACCCATTCTGTTTACACCATTTCCCATTCACCGTTATGTTTTCTGGCGAAGAATCGCCGATTGAATCCGTGTAATTGATTAGGCGTGTACCATCTGTTGTACGGGCGTTGAGATCGATAATATTTCCAATAACCTTATTTGTTGTTGGCGGCTCGGAGTTTTATCCGAATCAATAAGCGCCGTAAACGTTTTCTGGGAATAAATGTCATATCTTGGGTCTAGGGGAGGTGGGTGGTCAGCATGTGTGGCCAGTCTGTTGTGTACAGTCTTTTGTGTCCAGTCTTTGGTGTCCAGTCGTCCAGTCTGTTGAGTGTCCAGTCTATTGAGTGTCCAGTCGTCCAGTCTGTTGAGTGTCCAGTCTGTTGAGTGTCCAGTCTGTTGAGTGTCCAGTCTGTAGAGTGTCCAGTCTGTAGAGTGTCCAGTCTGTAGAGTGTCCAGTCTGTTGAGTGTCCAGTCTGTAGAGTGTCCAGTCTGTAGAGTGTCCAGTCTGTAGAGTGTCCAGTCTGTAGAGTGTCCAGTCTGTAGAGTGTCCAGTCTGTTGAGTGTCCAGTCTGTTGAGTGTCCAGTCTGTAGAGTGTCCAGTCTGTAGAGTGTCCAGTCTGTTGAGTGTCCAGTCTGTTGTGTGCCCAGTCTGTTGAATGTCCAGTCTGTTGTGTCCAGTCTGTTGAGTGTCCAGTCTGTTGAATGTCCAGTCTGTTGTGTCCAGTCTGTTGAGTGTCCAGTCTGTTGAATGTCCAGTCTGTTGGGTGTCCAATCTGTTGAGTATCCAGTCTGTTGAGTGTCCAGTCTGTTGGGTGTCCTGTCTGTTGGGTGTCCTGTCTGTTGAGTGTCCAGTCGTCCAGTCTGTTGAGTGTCCAGTCGTCCAGTCTGTTGAGTGTCCAGTCGTCCAGTCTGTTGAGTGTCCAGTCTGTTGAGTGTCCAGTCGTCCAGTCTGTTGAGTATCCAGTCTGTTGTGTGTCCAGTCGTCCAGTCTGTTGAGTGTCCAGGCGTCCAGTCTGTTGAGTGTCCGATCGTCCAGTCTGTGTGTCCAGTCGTCCAGTCTGTTGAGTGTCCAGTCGTCCAGCCTGTTGAGTGTCCAGTCTATTGAGTGTCCAGTCGTCCAGCCTGTTGAGTGTCCAGTCTGTTGAGTGTCCAGTCGTCCAGTCTGTTGAGTGTCCAGTCTGTTGAGTGTCCAGTCGTCCAGTCTGTTGAGTGTCCAGTCTGTTGAGTGTCCAGTCGTCCAGTCTGTTGTGTGTCCAGTCTGTTGAGTGTCCAGTCGTCCAGTTTGTTGATTGTCCAGTCTGTTGAGTGTCCAGTCGTCCAGTCTGTTGAGTGACCAGTCTGTTGAGTGTTCAGTCTGTTGAGTGTCCAGTCGTCCAGTCTGTTGAGTGTCCAGTCTGTTGAGTGTCCAGTCTGTTGAGTGTCCAGTCGTCCAGTCTGTTGAGTGTCCAGTCTGTTGAGTGTCCAGTCGTCCAGTCTGTTGAGTGTCCAGTCTGTTGTGTGTCCAGTCTGTTGTGTGTCCAGTCTGTTGAGTGTCCAGTCGTCCAGTCTGTTGTGTGTCCAGTCTGTTGAGTGTCCAGTCGTCCAGTCTGTTGTGTGTCCAGTCTGTTGAGTGTCCAGTCGTCCAGTCTGTTGGGTGTCCAGTCTGTTGAGTGTCCAGTCTGTTGTGTCCAGTCTGTTTAGTATTCTTTCTATTTAGCTGTCCAGTGCGTTTGGCTGGCAGTATTTATGTTGTCCAACCAGTTGTCCAATCCGATTCTGTCAAATATCCATTGTTGATTTTCTAAACAATATGTTAGGTTCCAGTCAACCGGACTGTCCAGTCTATTTGGAAACCACTTTGTTACCCAGCATATAGAATATCTATTCTATGTCCAGTCTATTAAGTCTAAGTGTGCCATGTGCTCAGCCTGTGTCAACTAATTTGTTTAAAAACGATAATGTACCAGTATCACACTGAGTCTTCTGATTACCTAAACACTCGACGTATTTAGACACCAAATGTTTGCGTGATATCACGAGTCAATTTCTTTCTCTTCAAATCAATTCATCAATGGATTCAAGCAAGAATTATAATAACTTCTAGCACCTATACCCATCAGCACGTGCTAAAGCAGATGTTGTATTTATCAGCTAGACAATTCTGCACCTGTCCCTTACAAGTGGCTTGTATTGAACAGACAAGACAATTATACAACTCGCCGCCTTCAGAGATACGACAGTTCTTAACTTATCCACTTTTACAAAGACAACAATTCTAAAGCTATCCAGAAGCTTGAAATGAAATCCCCTGACCCACATCTTGACCTACATAGCCCCCCCATCCCCCCCCCCCCTCGGCTGCTAGTCAATATCTCTCATTTGTCTCGGCAAGTAACGGTTACCAGATCGTTGGGGGTGGGGGGGGGGGGGGTGGGGAGAGAGAAATTGAATGAAGACCTTATCTGATTAAATACTATTAAATACTGTCATAAACTATTCACACGATGGCTAAATTCAGTCCATAATTTAAAATTTCAGTCTGCCTATGTTTGTTTATAGTCTTGCAAAGACAAAACTGAAAGAAAAAAAAACAAGACCTATAATCACGATAATGGAAAGCAGGAAAACGACAATGCAAATCCCTCGGCATGCATATTTAAACTCGGCATACAGTTCGTGTATTGATTGAAACATATTTTGTTTAACTACCATGAAATAACGTAGACATAATAATAATTTTTTTTTTTTACTTCTTTCTTCTGTTTTAGGCTGGACAGTCCGTTTCTCTTCGGGGATTCTATAAATAGCACCGGAAGTAATTACACCGGCTAAGATGTGACCCAAACGGGGACCGGTAAAGGTGAGTCCCTTATCTATTATTTACCTACTTCTGGAGACCGTGCAATTAATGCCGCGTGCCGTCTGGTGCGTGGGCTTCTACTGGCTCTGGCACTGGACGTTAAACGTTGTGTGTCTGTGTGTATGTCTCTGTGTGTGTGTCTGTGTGTGTGTCTGTGTGTGTGTCTTTGTCGGTAGGAAGGGTGGGGGGGGGGGGTTGGAACGTATCCGCTATATACAAAAAGACCGTTTTATTGACCTTATTCTCTGTGGCTCTCAATGAGGATTTATGTGACACGTGTTGATGGTGAGTACTATAAAGCCTGTTGATTAGTGCTAGTAAAGATGTGGGGGGTGCCGTCTTTGTGTTATACCCACCAATCCTTTAGCCCTGCATCCTATATTGGTATATGTTCCTAGTAGATATACGATTTTATAATGCTATCTACGGTATTGCGGAAACGGTAAATCCTGCGTAAAATGTACTTTGGGTACCCGCAATAAAAATATACATTCATCAGTGGATATAAACTAAAATGAGAAGAAATTCCCACAGCGCAGTAACTTTTTTTTTCATCCACCTGATCAGCTTAGCTGGAGGAAATCTTTGTTTCCCCCCGAGCCCATCTTTACTACCACAATTCCATACGCTACCAAATGCCCACACTTACTACCATACTAACCCCACCTTGGCGCAACCCACTCTTACTACTACAATCCTCCCTCCACTGTCCACTCCTACTACCATATTTTTCCACCCCGGCGCAACCCACTCTTACTGCTATAACTCTCCCTCCAATGTCCAGTCCTACTACCATGCTACCCCCCTCTCCATGGTGCATCCCACCCCTTGTAGCCACCTTCCCACTCCACTGTCCACTCCTACCCCCCTCCCCCAACCCATATCTTGCTGCCATAATTGGCACTGCACCATCCACCCGGTGTATTTTACGTAAGCATCTCTAAGACTTCCTCCGTTATCAGCCCTCTAGGCGGCTCGAGCTTTATCGAGTAGCGCCAAATTAGACCCCCCAAGTCACCAATAGGAATCCGTACAAGGCTAGAAAAGAAAGAAGGAAAAAAAAAAAGACACCCATCCATCATTGTATGTCCTTCTCTTCAACAATTCCATCTTTTTGCGTCTTCTCGGCCTGCGCTTCCCCCCTTGAGTGCGCGCTGTTGCGATTTGGTCACAACACAAACAGGATGGATGTGAAGCAGATGTTGCCTGTGTCCTCCCTCAAGGACCCGTGGCTATCGGAGGCGGCGCGTTTTTTTGAGCCCCGTGTCCCCGCGTGTCAAGATGGCAACACCCCCCCCCCCCCCACCCACACCCAACCCCTCGAGATCGATATGAGCCAGATTTTTATTGTACCCCTGTTGGGCTTGCCTGGTTGTATGGTGGGGGATGCTAAGCCTTCACGGATACAATAAAAGAAATGCAAGTGAAAATTTTGTTTGGATTGACCGGGTATTTTTATCACATTAAATATCCTAAGGTCATGTTACTGTTTGGACTTTGTATACTTTTCTATCAAGTTGAATATCCCAGGGTCACATTTCTGTTTGGATTAAGTGTAAATCTCTTAAGTCACATTAGTGTTTGGATTAAGCGTAAATTGCCAGCACGTTAAAAATCCTAAAGTTGCTTTAACGTTCGGTTTAATATTAAATTTTTATCGCGTTCAGTATACTGATGTCACATTTCTGCTTGGATTAAGTGTAAATCTATATCAAATTAAATATCCCAAGGTCACATTAATACTGGATTAAGCGTAAATTTCTATCACGTTAAAAATCGTAAGGTCACATTAGTGTTTGGATAAAGCGTTAATTTCTATCATGTTAAATATCATACTGACACACGTTAGAGTTTAGATTTAAAGCAAACATTATTTTTTAATTTCTCGGGAGAAAGTGTCCGTGTGAGTAGCATTAGGCGGGTAACGCTATGCAAACAACACGTGTGTGAATAGTTTTAAAGCAAACAAAACGTTCTTCAAGAGGGGCGGCTGAAAGGGTTAAAAGAACACCCCCCCCTGTACCACCATGTACTGCCGTGTCGATACCACGCTAGACCCGACCACATTAACCACATTACTCTTACCACTTTGACCCCCCCCCCCTTATGGGACGACGTGGTCAGGAAAGTAGAGCTCATGACCACTAACCTGAAAGTCACTAGTTCTTCCCCCTGTATTGTCTGTATAACTTCCTTGAGTCTACCTAGCCCTATTCTGTACCTGACTCACGCTTGGGGAAGGTAATGGCGGCTGTGCATAGAAACTATACTATTTTTTCATATGCCATGGTTACGGAAACAGATGAACTCTACTTGACCGTCATGTCCGGAATGGTATCTTCTCACAAACGCAGTGTCAATCCTGCTGACACCTAAATAAGGGGTTGACAATCTACCGGGCCGTAGATATTTAAGGGTACACAACTCGGCTATTACTAAAAAGGGGAAGAAGAATTGATTCATTTATGGATTGATGTACTTAATTTGTTTAATGTCAGAACTAAATAAATCATGACTTTTAATGCTGGTCAGTACATAAATACAACACAAAATATTTGCTTTTACTGAAAATAAATTGCCCGACCCCTGGCATGAAATACACCGTAGCCTTTTATTTTTAACCCTCTCCGTGTTACGTTTAACCCCTTCACCCCCGTGATGTTACAGTTGTAAATTGTAACCCAAAATCGTTAACGTCCCTTCTCTCTACCGCATCTTAAACCATCCCCTGCATCCCAAGACTTACACCATGTCCTTATAAAGATATAATAACCCCCCTCCAACTATTAATCACCATACCCACCACCACTCTATTAACCCCCCCCCCCCCCCAGCCGCCATCCCTTTCAGGTGACCCTATAATGGCCGGCACCGTCTCCAGCAGAGCAAATGTTTACCGAAACCTGTCAAGCTAAAAATCCGTAAAACCAGCTACTCTCCGACCGATAGTTTTCAACATCGATTTCATTTCCGTTTTATCTCCAACCCGCCGTGTTTAGACATTTTTTCTTTCTGTTTGTACTACGGTATTCAAATAAAAAACAAATCGTAAGACCGAAGAGAAAAATCTGCATCGATTTCTTTAAATGTGTTCATAATATGGCCCTCCTCTTTTCTCGTCAAACTGAAATCTTAAGTTCGTTAATGTCTTCTCTTACCCTCGACAGTATAATTATAGAGATAGTTCCATCACGAGTAAGAGAGCTCGTTGTTTGCTCTAATGGTTCTTCATAGATCCGCGCTACACCAGTAAAAAAACACATGTACGAGAACTCCGAGTGCTGTTATTTCCACTTTAAATGGCCCGGTTATTACTTGTTGAACGGGTCAAATCAGACATAATGCTCGCTACCGTTCGATACCACAATGCCCGTGGGTGGGGGGAATCCCTTGGGGAAAGAAAAAACATCACCCATACTTATCGCATTTCATTACGTTATCCTGAACATAATCGCGCCCTCGCTTTTAGCTCGGGGTTTATTTGTGGGAAGTGGAAGGGGACGCGTCTAATGGGCATTAAAATTAATTTTGTCGATCATAAAATATTTGGGAAAAAACGTGTCCATAAGGTTGGGCATTTTAAAGTAAGTTTAAATTATAGAACAGCCGGTTTTGTTAAGTGAATATGTTGCCCGTTTTTTTTCCTCTTTACATTTATTTTCCTAAATATTTTTTAAAATATTCCACTTATTCAAATGTAGTTGTTTTTTTGCAACTATTTTATTCACAGGATATACTGATCTGAAATGTGCGTGAGTGTGGCAGATAAATAATGGTAAACTGTGATAGATACAACGACTTTTACTTTGAACAATCTCTGAGATTCAGATTCTATTGAAACCCTCGCTCTATTCTCGGGTAAATTACACTTGCGAGAAATTCATCAACACTATTCTACAACCGTGCGAGAAAGATGGATAGTTATTGTGGTCGATTAGGTTTTTGGAACTAAGGTCATAATTGGGCCGGGGGTGGGGGGCATAAATAAGTTAATGTGTCGGATTGTGGGAAGTAGAAGGTGTAACAATAAAAATATGAACTGATTACAGCTGCATAGCTATATATTTTGACTTCCTGTTCGGACTCGATATTGTCACACCGTTACATATGTGCTTACATATAAATGAACAAAAGAGCTAGACGGCCTCTGATTCAAAGCCGGTGTTCTAATATTTTTAAAGGGTTACTGGCAAACGACCTTACCGAAAAAAAAATCCCAAATGAGCCTTTCATGTTTCTGCTTTATACGTGAAGTTAATGGTGATTGTCATCTCTTGATATTGTGAGTGGAGACATTGCTAAAGCTACCACACGTGGTCGCTCTTTGGTTGGCAGACTCGCCAAATCTGGCGAAAGACCCTAGCAACGGGGGATGATCCCCAGTTAAAAACACGATCAAACAAAAGCTAATCACTAAAGCAAACATGATTTGGACTATTGATGATTCACTGAACTGACTCGTTCGATCTTAAAAAAAAAAACAACAACACCACAGTGACACTGGCGATCCCGGCTTTGTATTACTCAGTTGACTTTTTGGTGTAAGCCCTCGCTGATGTTCTCGTTCAGAAATCTTTTCATTATCTCGGGATATTTGTACCATAGACGCCAATACAACATACGCCTTTCTGTATATGTAGCATTTAACTGTTGAATACATGTATTTGTATATTATTTTTTTCCTTAATCTCCTATGGTTGTGGACGGGATGGTTAAATAAAAGCATGGATTTCGAATCTCGGTCATCAACCCTGACTTTTTAAAATTATAGCACGTCCACGAGTCGACCCTCCTCTGATGAGTGCTTAGATAAGCCAAGGGCTGGGGTGGGGCAGGAAAGGGCGTGCCGGCTTTGTCCTTCCCGTGAAACCTTCCCGGTGAACGTACAGGTGAGCCGTTCATTCATCTGTGACCGAAGACACATCCAGGGGCGGTGACTTGAGCGTCCGTCGCTGTGTGCCCGGGGGAGGGGGTCGCTTTACTCCTAGCACACGACACGA